TCGTGTAATCTGTGCTAATACTTCTCTCTGCTTGAACTTTCCCCAACTTTGGTACACGCAGTGAAATTGCTCTAAATTACTGTTTTCTCGGCATCGTAATTGAAAGATCTACTCGGCCCTAATTGTGGGAGTGCAATGCCCATCGGGAGCGGTGGAATTTTCACCAGGCCTTTGGGCAGGGTGAGTGAGGCACCTTATGTGTTAGCAACCGCTCCCTTGGTATCCTCCTGGTTCACGATGGGGTGTTTAGTGATGCATTGATTCTCTTGATTATCTCAGTGGTGACATTCAGGACATGTTGAAGAAAGGTCTTGGAGTGGGAGTCGGAGGACTGGACCGGGAATGGGTAGAAGGAGTGCTGGAGCCTGCAGCTGGCACTGCTTCAGCAAAAGCACTGACACCTCTACGGTGTCTTTCATTCCAGGATCTGATTAAATCTTACCACTCCAATGAGGCAGACAAGCATTTGAAGCCATTTTATAGTTGAGTAATTTGAAGAGAATGAATGGTCCGTTGTTATGCAGGCAGTCAGCAGGAGTTCTGGAAATTGAACCAAGCCAGCATAAAGCCCTGTCTCTCTGCTTTCGCAGGGAAAATGTGCGTGCTGCTGCCTTTCACTGTGATTGAAGACGTTTGCTCTCCTAGGCAAATTTGTCTTCTGAAAATCCAAAATCACCTTTTAGCTCGCTTGTTTCTCAGTGTCAAAGATGACGGAGTTTTTGTCATCTAGAATTTGAGAAGAAATTCCTTCAACATTGAGCCGTGTGTTTTGGACGCAGCGTTCTAGCAGTCAGGGTATAGAGCTGCACCCTAGGTTTCCTTCCTACTTGTCACTGATGCAGTCATCTTTGGTGCCTTGATTCTACTCCTCCAGGGTATCAGGAACCTCAGGCTGTGATCTCTCATGCATTTTTCCAGTGTCAGTGCCAGTTAAGCTGCTCCTGTGCCTGGCTGCTCACTCCTACTCCTGAGCTGAGCCATTCTTGTGTCAGCTCAGCTGTTTATGTGGCCATGTTGTGAGCCAGGTCTGGGAACTGAACGAACTGCAGGTAGCTTTTTACTTTAACTTCTAGGTTGGTTGGTTCCCTTCATGGTGCAGCCTGACCGTGGGAGCGGGGTGGATGGTGTGGCAGTGACAGGCAGCTGGGAACGTGGGGATAGAAGGCTCTGCAGAAGCTGGTGTGAGCAGAGTTGCTGCCTTCTGGGAAATAAAATCCTTAATACACTTTTGAGAGATGTTTTTAGCGGTGTCATTATAATGCTGGAGTTCTTGCAGATATGGATTAAATTACTTTTTTTTTTTTTTCCTCTTTGTAGGATCATTTTATCACTCCCTCTGTCTTTGGCGAAATTATTTACAACAACTTCCTGTTTGACATCCCTAAGATTCTGGATCTCTGTGTGCTTTTTGGGAAGGGAAATGGTCTCCTGCTCCAGAAGATGATCGGTTAGTTAAAGCCAAGGAACAACCTGTTGAGTTTAGGCTTTTGCTTATTCGTATCATTACTACTAATACATAACATACTAAACATAATAATTCCTATTATTATTAACAAGTGGGGGTTTATACCAGTGTTACTGCTCTGAAAATAAATTATTCAGCAGCAAGTAGTATCTGTAATTTCTAGGTCAATTTCTAGATCAGATTACTTTTCTCTTTTTTTTTTTTTTCTTGTGAACTTCCTTTATGTCAAGGAAAGCATTGTGTCCTGCTGCTTAGCTGTCCTGAGCTGGGCTCGTGGCAGTAGGCGTGAACCAAAGCTCAGTTATGCCTCAGCAGTTGTTTCCTATGCCAATTAAATGTGTCCTCAGCTGCTGTAAGGACATGAGGGCTCTGTAAAATCCTGGTGGAGGTGGGAGGGGACAAACAGTTCCTGGGCAGGGAGGGAGGAGGGTTAGAAGATGAGGCACAGTCCAACTGCTCATATGAGGGCTTTTGTTCCCAGAGTTGGGAGCTGAGTGGAATGTGCGACGTGAAGTAGTCACTGGTCTGTGAAGTGGGAGAACTTGAAATTTCAATGCAGAGGTTGATTGATAGGGTGCCTTCAAACCACAGAGCACTCGAGAAGCACAGCTTGAGCAATGCTCTCCCTAGGCTTCTCTGTATCTGTACAGACAGCCTTAGGGGCAAGTCCATAGCACAAAACGTCTCAGCCTTGGATGCTCTAGCATCTAGCCTGCGTGATGAACTCGGGGCATATCGGTTTAGCTTCTGTGTTTATCCTGTGCTCCCTTCACAAGGGAACCACTTGTGGTCTTTAACATCCATCTGAGCGTCGATGGAAGAGTATCTAATATCTAACCTTGGGTTAAGTGAGCTCTTCTCCCTAAATTCTAACCCACCTTGTCTGCAGTTCGTGTAATGAAACTTTCCTTTCTTTGGTAGTTATTTTTGTCTCGTTTCCAAGTTGACTAACATGAGAAGTGTTAGAGAACATGTGATGCAGCCAATTTTCCAGACCAGAAAAGCTTAGATAAACCTTCACATTTTTTAATCGCTATATCCTTTTTCAGTAGTGCCCACTCTAAATTCATCTGTCAAGCCTCAGAGGTGGAAAGAAAGCATGCTGAGATAGCTAGTTCTCCTTCAGATTTGAAGCTTAGATTATCTGGGCCTTAAAATATTCCAAAGAAGACCTAAGTGTATGAAACCTCATTTGAATTATACGTGTGCTCTGGAGTGCAATGCAGTAATGCTGCACGCAAGTGACCGATGATTTGCTCACCTGATTATTTGCATTCTGTTGTGACAGTAATGGCACGAGCAGTTCTGGGGTGTAATTCATAACTTGATAAACTTTAGGTTCTTCTCAGGGTATAAATTTTTCTGAAACCTGTCTCGTAACTTACCCGTGCTCTGTCCTTGCTGGAGAACTCTGTTAATTTTCATCATCTGAACAGTAATTCACAGGAAAAGAGGCAGCCTCTGTGCTTACTTGGTGAGGATTTATGGTACGCCATTACTCAGTGGAGTATTTTGTAAAGATAATGAAGTCCTAGTAATGTAATTGCAGGTATTACTAAAGCCTCATTACCTTTTAAGAAATATTCTGCAGAACATTTTCCAGTGTGTGCTGAACTGTTATCAGTAATTAAAAGTCAACTCCAGTTGTCAAATAAAGGAACTAGAAATGTTTAGCGATAGTATTTGCATTATTCATTGTTTCAGCCTCTGGGGTGTGAATCATCTAACATCTCCTTTGCTCTGCTCTGCTGAGCACATTGTCGTTACCAGTTCTCCAGTGGCACTGAGGAGTTGATGGGTCAGGGTTACAGGAGTAGACCCTGGGTGTGAGTGGAGAAGGGAGCCTGTGCCCACCTTGTAAGGGGTTATCAGCTGTATGGGGTGGGGGGGGTGGCGGGAATAATACAAGTACGTCTTCTGGTGCAGATTTGCTCGTTGGCATGAATGTCTGAACTAATGGGAACTGGTCTCCTTCCCCATCTCTTCTCAGAAAATATCTTCACTCAGCAACCGAGTTACTTCAGTGACCTAGACGAGACTCTGCCCACCGTCCTCCAGGTACCGCTTTCCTGCTTGACCCAGGGCTCGCGTTTCACCTGGAAGTGGGCCACAGCCGAGGGGCTGGAAGGCAGCAAGCGTGGTCGCAGGCAGGCAGAACGCGTTGGCTGTCGCTTCCGTTCTCTAGTTCATGCCGATGTGTGTCAGGGGGGTTTTGAACCTTCATCTAAAACTATTACTTGATGACTGTTTCCTGTTGCCTTCCTTCAGGTTCTGGCCTTCTCTGCAGTTAATCTCAAGGAGTTTTCATTAGGCAGTTCAAAAAGTGTTCTTTATATCCCCCCAAGTGGGGGAGGCATTAAAACAGGTAAAGCAGCAAAATGGGGACTGTGAGAGGTAGCCAAGACTTGACAGTAGAATGGGTTGTCGTTAGCACTGCAGGTTCTCAGGAGTGAATAAAAATCTGTTGGAAGGGAGGCATTGTTGCCATACAAAAGGTATTTAGCACCTCTCCACATCTAAGCTTTTGTTTTTATAAGCAGCTTTTCTATCCCCCAGACTCGGTAAGCAGGATTCACATTTCACCTGAGGGGAAAACCGAGGTGCCTTGACACCTTTGTACCCTGAAAATGTCGTGTTTATGTCCTCAAAAGCTCACCTATGCACAGGAATAAACAAGCCCAAGATACCATTTACCCCAAGACACCTGTAATGTCACTTGACTTTTTGAAAGCTCATATTTGTCTTTTTTTCCCAAGTCTTAAGAAATTGCTAGAAGTAAATCTCAGAGGTAATACCGCGTTTAAAAATGTTCTAAGATGCGAGACCGAACCTTCAAATGAATTACTGGGGAGGGCAGCAGAGATTCCATTTGCTTTTCGTGATGTACCATGTCGGAGCAGTTTCTCTGCAGAACACTGGTTTCTTCACCCTGTGTTTTGGTGACCGTTGCAGGGCGATACCAGTGTGTGTCAAGTGTACGGACGTAACAGCTCGAACAAAGACGTGTCAGTGCTGATCCATGAAGCTCTTTAAGTGCTTGCGCTGTCGCTGAAAGGAGTTGATACCCGTGCAGGTGTAGGAGCTTGCATGCCCTGTACCATAGTAATGTTAACCCCAAGTATGCGACTTCAGTACCTTTAGCCACCCGTTCACGTGCCTCTGGGAGGTGGGTTTGACAAATGCCTCAAGGTGCAGATGTAGAGGAGTTGCTTTTAAATTGGTCCTGCAGCAGAGGTTGTTAGCAATCGGGAACCTAATTCTGTCAGCTTCTCCCCAGATTCTTTGTGTATAAACAAGAGCCCCAAAATCTGTCCTGCTAGCCTCAGGGGCGAGGGCAGGAAGGCTTTGGGACTGGCTCCTAAGCAGGAGGTGGTGTTAAGTTCCCAGTTGTCCCACTACTCTCACAAATAGGGATCCCAGGTGGCCTCCCAGTGTTGGCCTTGCTGGGCGGTTTTGTTGGCATAGCTAAGGGTTTGGTTTAGCCGCAGTCCCTGCCTCAGCACCACCGCCACGTGCAGCTGCAGTTCGGTCACTTGCAAGTTGCATGGAGTTTCAGCAGGGCAGTGCGGCCCTTCCTGCGGCGGCCTGCAAGAGTCTGCTGCAGCTTTCCTCTGACACAGCTCCGTGCTGGATGGAGATAGTCCCCATACGTGGTCGTAGCAGTGATTGTTAACAAGACAAAGCAGTCCCACTGCTTTCTCCTGTCTGTTTTAGCACTGTTCTGTTCTCTTGATTTAGGTGTTCAACAATATTTTGCATAAGTGTGGTTTGCAGTGTGAAGGAGCCTCCGCTGAGCCCCAGAAATTGGAAGAAAAAATAAATGTGACGCCGGGGAACATGCCCCTCCAGGTAGGACTGTTGCTCCTTGCCCTTTACTGTTTGTAGTCCTGCAGCCTGAACAGTCCATGGAGCAGTAACACCACAGAGGGTCATTCTGTTCCCAGATACTGGTGGCTCATACAGCACATGGTTCCATGTCATTGCTTCACTGTTTGTCGTATGACTGTGATAAAGCCTTTCCACCATGAGTTGGTTGCTTTCAGCCATATCCATTGTATCGTGGGTTCTTTTTAAACCCAGCATCTTTTTTACTTAACCAGCTGGTAAGTAATGTAACAGAGTAGCTGACAGAAGTCTCCACGTAACCCTGACAGTGATCACAGTTGATTTTTTTTTTTCCTTCAGAAATGTTTGTTTAACAGCAATATACTTTAACTTTAGTTAATGAAGAGGGTTTTTTGTGCTGGGTGCTGTACAAAGACAGGCCCCGTGTCAGTGAGCATGGTCTTCTAGAAAATCTGAGTCATACAGTTTGTGTGTGGGAGTTGTTACAGCTCCCCTGGAAGTGCGTCTTGCATTGAAATGGACCACTGAAATCGTCCCCTTAATTCCTGTATTACTGCTATGCAGCGCTTCCAGCTAGCTGGGGAAGAATACTTTACGTGGGGGATATATTGAAGACAAAGCCACTGTCCAAAATGGGGTATGATGAGGAGTCTCATAACTTCACAGAATCTTTAATGAGAGTGAGCAGTTGGGACTGCATTATAGATATTTGAAGGATAGACATTTTAGCAGGGACATTGTCTCTGCTTCTGGACCCGGTAACATGTAACGTGTTGATGACTGATAGCAGGCTCTCTGTGCAGTCAGGAAAAAGACTTGGTCTGGGCATGATGTGTCCCTATTAGTGAGTGGTACTGTGTTCCTAGGAAAACTTGTCTGGCTTTTCTCTCAGTAATTGCCCTTTCTCCTTCAGGAGCTGAAGGATATTGTGCTGTACTTATGCGACACTTGCACAACACTCTGGGCGTTTCTTGATGTCTTCCCCTTGGCTTGCCAGACCTTCCAGAAACATGAGTTTTGTTACAGGTACGTCTTGGACTGCAGACAGAGCTTGTCTTGGCGAAGTAAAAATACTGAATGTGCTGCCATGTCGTGTCCCAGTCCCTTCATCGTTAAAAGAGTAGACAGATGTAGTGCAACCAGAGACTGCTAGGTTCACACTGACAGGGATACAGAATAATAAATGAATGAATATAGGGAAGGCTAGAGTTTGGCTGTTATGTGTTCACCTTCATCATTATCTGTGAGTGATCCTGGAGCCAGGCAGCCAGGACAAATTCAAAACCCAGCTAAGCAGTGCTGGATGTGCTTCGGAAAGGGTGGAGCGGGATGAGCAGAAGAGAGTTGTGGGCAAAAAGAGCTTCCTGCTGTAGCAAGGGAGGTAGAAAGTATTTCAAAGTGATAGTCCATCAAGGTCTGAAAAGAAATGCTTTTGTTTGATGTTCTGCCTAAGTTTTCTGCTAGAGAATATTACTGAGGTTTGGCAAAAGCTGAGCGCCAGGGAGAGGATGACAAGCCAGCACTATCACGGCTGGGCTGACAGCTGATTCCCTGTCCAACTCTGCATCACAGTGTCGATGAGTCAGGATGGTCTCAAGGACCAGACAGCAGAGTGTGTTCCCGCAGAGGCTGCAAGTCCTCGAGTGCCACTTACCCAGCTGGCCCCTGGTGTTTTAAACCCCCCGATCATCTCGTGGAGTCTTGCCGTAACAGCCTTCGTTTAGGACCACCTGAAGTGTTAATTTATTGTCCTTATTTCCCCTGGTTTGTTTGCTTGTTTTTGTGAACAAACGCACATTTGTGTTTTGCTTTTGTTTCCAATCATGTTGCAGACCTCTGAAGCCTTACAGCTGCCAGTGGTGTGTGGACCACAGGCTGAGTAATGCTGCTCTGGGGTGTGTAGGTTCCTGTCCCCTTTGAATGTTGTTGTCGAGTTGGTTATTGAAAGAGCAGATTGGTGGACTGCTGGTGGCTGTTTGGACTGGCAAGCAGCACTGCTTACATGCTTGGTTACTCAGAGGAGGAAAGCCTTTTGCTTTTCATTCTGCTGTTGATGTCAGAGATGTGCTAAAATGGTCTTGATCTCTGTGCAGTGGGACAACAGCAACATTTTCATTACTTCTCGATATGGACTAATGACTGGGTCTTTGGAGTCTGCGGGGGGAAAACTGATTTATGTGTCATCTTTTTGGAACCTCTGTGAATTTGAATCAATCTGCTGGCATTTGCTAATTTCTCCCCCTGACTAAAAGTATTAACCAGCTTCTGCTCCGCTTGCCTCAAGGATACTCATTTAACATGCTTGGCTCTTAATATGAGACATGGACATAATGTTCCTAATGGAGCCTCTGCTCGTCAGTTCAGCTTGGCTTTTGTGCAAAGGGCTGTAAACCATTATTTGTAGCATCTAGCTACTCGGGAGGCAGTGCTGGCTGTTATTCTGGGAGGCTATTTCTGTGCATCTCTCAGTGCTCAGTCCCTGAAGGAAAGGGTCTGTGTGGGCTGCCTGGCACCTCAGATGTGAAACTGGACCAAACTGACTTTGTTTCCTCCCTGCCCTATCCTCCTGAAACATCCTCGTAGGCTTTCTGCGTATTGGGTACCTTCATCTAAATGCCCACCTAGAGCAGAGCTGAAGAGCCAGACCAGTAAGACTTTCTTGGAAATGGTATCGTGTTTCCTATCCAGTTTTTAGTGTAGGGCAGCATAGGGCCATGAGGATATTGGAGTGGGAGGGGTTGGTTTGGGATGCACTGGGGCGGGTCAGCTCATTGCAGACGGCAGGTTTGTGTGCGGGCTGTTTCTCGCCTGGGCAGATTGTCCTGCTGTTCGCTCCCATGATGCTTTCCAAGGCGTTTCTTTGCCTGCACCTTCAGGGATACCTCGATGGTTCCCGTGGAGTGCTGCTCTGTGTCTGTTGTGTATTTGCTTGCTTGTGTTTCAGGGAACAAATAACCAAATGAGGTAATGCTGGTGAGTACTGCTAGGGAGGAGAATTTAATGAAGTTAACAGTTTGGTTTGTCTTTTAGCAAATGATTTTTGAAACCTCAGTTGACAGTTACTGTTTTGTTGTCCGTTTCTCCAGATTAGCTTCGTTTTATGAACTGGCCGTTCCTGAGCTGGAATCTGCAATTAAGAAGAGGCATTATGAGGATAACAGGTGAAAATGTCTGCAAAGGCTTTTTTCAATAAAAGTCTCCCAGGGCTTAATTAAAAATTCACTTCATGCTGCTTTGCCCACTTCTGCAGTCTTTCTATCTTTTTTTTTTTTTTTTTAATGCTGCTTCAAAGAACTCTGAAGAGATGGCTTTTCTAATTCCGAATTTTCCTGGGCAGTGGGGTGATTGATGATTTCTTTCACTGCTATCTAAGAAGAAACTTGATGAGAGATGCATCCAGATTGTAACAAAGCATGAAGACATGAATGATAGCTCTATGTATAGATTGGCCTCATTTTAAGGTGCTGACTATGCTGGTGCAGTTGAGATACCGTGTGTCTAGCTGTCAGGACAATTGGTGATTGAGACCAACTTTGTTTAGAGCAGGGATTTTTCCTTAATGAGTATGAAATGGCTCTAATCTCTGGTCCTTGCGGCGAAGAAATGATTTTGCTGATGAAATGCCTCCTCTGGAGTAAAGGTACGTTAAAGATTACGATTTCTTATGCTGACACCAACAGTGTGTTCTTTTACTCTCTCTGAAGCGTTTTTGCTGATTTGTGGAGGAGAATTTCGCATTCCAGGAAGAAGATGATCGAAGCTTTCCACATCCTAATAAACCAAGTCTGTCTCCAGCCCATCTTAGAAAGCAGGTATTGGCACTTGGGCACTGTGGTACCAGCCAGTTATTTGATTACCGTTGTGGAGGAGGTCTGTTTCCTCGTTTTCAGATTTGCTGGGGAAAATGAACGGGTACTGCTATTAGTGTTGCCAAAGTTGTCTTGCTGTTTGTGTAGCCAGAGACT